TCTAGCGAACCCACAGGCAGGGGAACGGGCCTGCAGTTAACGGCGGGGAAAGAAGACCCTGTTGAGCTTGACTCTAGTTTGGCTTTGTAGAGAGGCACCTGAGGTGTAGCATAAGTGGGAGGTCGCTCACGCGGCCGACGATGAAATACCACTACTCTGGTCGTCTCTCTACTTACTCGGTGATGCGGGAGCGGGAGGCGTGACGGGGTTCGGGTCCCGCGAGCGGGGCGGAGCGCGGCTTCGGTCGTGTCTCTCCCCCTCCGGCCCGTCTTCCCTATGCCTCTACCGATTTTAGACTGCAAGTGACATGAACAAGAGCGGCCGCCTCCCCGGGGGGCGAAAGGGGCTTCTCCGCGCGGGGGCGGTCGTCGCCGCCGCTCGCGGCGCGCGTCGCGACCCGTTCCGAGGACAGAGCCAGATGGGGAGTTTGACTGGGGCGGTACATCTGTCAAACGATAACGCAGATGTCCCAAGGTCAGCTCAGCGTGGACAGAAACCACGTGTAGAGCCCAAGGGCAAATGCTGGCTTGATCCGGACTCTCAGTACGAGCACGGACTGCGAAAGCACGGCCTAGCGATCCTTTTGACTTTTACGAGTTTTAAGCGAGAGGTGTCAGAAAAGTTACCACAGGGATAACTGGCTTGTGGCGGCCAAGCGTTCATAGCGACGTCGCTTTTTGATCCTTCGATGTCGGCTCTTCCTATCATTGTGAAGCAGTTTTCACCAAGCGTAGGATTGTTCACCCTCTAATAGGGAACGTGAGCTGGGTTTAGACCGTCGCGAGACAGGTTAGTTTTACCCTACCGTTAACAACGTCGCCACGTCGCGACAGGAGCCCCGCCCAGTACGAGAGGAACGGTGGGTCCGGACCAATGGTGCACCTCCTGCCCGACAGGCCACCAGGGGAGGGCAGCCACGTCCGGCAGGTTTTACCCCTGAAAGCCTCTCAAGGGGGAAACCGCGCTGAGCGTTAAGCGACGTGATCGCGTGCGGCGCAACGGATCGGCGAGTTTACTAGACTGAAGAGTTTAGACGCGAACCCGGCGAGAGCCAAGGGGGGCGGACTGTGCCCATGCAAGGGGAAGTCACGCGGCTGTTTCTGACGGTCGAAGGGGGTCGAGGCCCAGTCGACGGCCCGCCAAACCGCTCCCTCCCAAGGGGGGCGGTGGGCCGCCGCCCCGGAGCTTGAAGGGGGGCCTCCCTTTGGACACCAGCTTCCTCGATACAGAGCAAACCACGTCCGGTGTGCCGTACCGAACCGTCTGCATACGACTGACATATCGGCTGGGGTGTTGTACCGGTTAGAGCAGGCTCCTCTTTTCCTGCGATTAAGTGAGACTCGTCCCCTACGGTCGGATGGTTTTGTTGCTGTTGTTGTTCAAGCCCTCCTCAGCCCCTTCCTTCCTTCTCTTCTTCTTCTGCTTCTTCTTTTCTTCTTCTCCGTCCCAGGGGGAGGAGGAGGAGGAGTTCTGCTTCAAGAAGAAATCTTGAAAGAGGAAGAAGGGGAGGAGGTAGCAGCAGCAGCAGCAGCAGTTGCAGCAGCAGCAAGCCGCACTGCTGTCTGACTGAATTCAACGGAGTGTGTGCGGTGTGTGTGTGCGTGTGCGTGTGTGTGTGCGTGTGTATGTGCGAGTGCGAGTGGTGTGGGCGTTTGGCTTGGCTGCTGGCCTTTTGCCGTGGCAACTTGGTAAGGAAGGACTTGCTGGGTCTCTCTCTCTCTCTCCCCCATCCTGCAAGGGAGAAGGGAAAGAGAGGGAGAGCGCCATCCTCCTCCTCCTCTCGGCAAGCGAGAGCGGGGGTGTGTGACAGGGCACTGCTTCCACGACGTCGCCCCCGGCGGCGGCTGAGGGGCGCGCATAGGTATGCTACTTTGCGGGAAATTCTTTTTTTTCGCTTTTACTTTGCCTTCGTCGGGTGACGAAGGAAAAGAGGAAAGAGAAGAAGAAGAAGGAAGGAAGGAAGGAAGGAAGGAAGGAAGGAGGGTTAAAAGGGAGCACCTCCTCACGCAGGACCCCTGGCCGCGGGGGACGTTGGTGCACGGTCTCCAGGGCAAGTGTGAGCGCCAAATGTAGTAGATATTTGTAAGTGTGAAAGGGTGTGGGTGTGGGTGTGGTGTTGTGTGTTTGTGTTTGTGAGTGAGTGCACGATTGGTGTACCGGCGCTAGTGCGCCCATGAGTTCTGTAGGGTCTGCAGGGCATTTTTTCCGGGGCCGAGCCGGATTGCCCCCCCCCCCCCCCCCCATTCCCCCCATTTTTTTTTGGGGGGGGGGGGGGGGGTCGACGACGCCGACGCCGATGCCGCCGCGGCAAAGTTCTTTCTTGCCTGGGTGCCCTTGGCGAGAATTCCCCCCCCCCCCCCTCCTCCTCCCCATCAAAAAAAAAAAAAAAAAAAAAAAAAAAAAAAAAAAAAAAAAAAGGGGGGGGGGGTGAGTGTGGATGTGGGGGGATATGTGCCCCCCCCCCCCCCCACCCACCCACCCGGGGATGCCACATCACGACCGCCCCGCCGGGGGCGGTCCCCCCTAGCGCCCGCCAGGCTCCCGTTCCTGCCGGACGGATGGAAGGCCCTGTCTCTGGTCGTGTTGGCTGCGGGCCTGCGCCGCCAACTATAGGGAGAGGCGGTTGGGTGCGGGGTTCGCGGGTGGCGGAGCGGGCTGCCGGGCGGGGCTGGGAGCGCGGGCCGCCGGAGCCGAGCGCCGCCCTTGGCCTGCTGTGTGCGGCGGCGGCGGCGGCCGCGCGTCTCCCGCTCGGTCCTTTCCCCCGTGCCGCCGCCTGGCCTGAGCGAGCGAGCGGGGTTGGCGGGCGGGCGGGCGGTCCCCCCCGAGCGCCCGCCAGGCTCCCGCTCCTGCCGGACGGATGGAAGGCCCTGTCGCTGGTCGTGTTGGCTGCGGGCCTGCGCCGCCAACTGTAGGGAGAGGCGGTCGGGTGCGGGTGTTCGCGGGTGGCGGAGCGGGCGGGGGGGGAGCGCGGGCCGCCGGAGCCGAGCGCCGCCCTTGGCCTGCTGTGTGGCGGCGGCGGCGGCCGCGCGTCTCCCGCTCGGTCCTTTCCCCCGTGCCGCCGCCTGGCCTGAGCGAGCGAGCGGGGTTGGCGGGCGGGGCGGGCGGTCCCCCCCGAGCGCCCGCCAGGCTCCCGCTCCTGCCGGACGGATGGAAGGCCCTGTCGCTGGTCGTGTTGGCTGCGGGCCTGCGCCGCCAACTGTAGGGAGAGGCGGTCGGGTGCGGGTGTTCGCGGGTGGCGGAGCGGGCGGGGGTGGGAGCGCGGGCCGCCGGAGCCGAGCGCCGCCCTTGGCCTGCTGTGTGGCGGCGGCGGCGGCCGCGCGTCTCCGCGCGGTCCTTTCCCCCGTGCCGCCGCCTGGCCTGAGCGAGCGAGCGGGGTTGGCGGGCGGGCGGCCTGCCCAGCGAGGCCGTTCAGCCACGTCTTCCTTGGCTGGCCAGGGGACGGCTTGGGCTTTTCCCTGCCCCTTCGGCCCCCACGCCCTCTCGGGCCGAGGGCGGCGGGCCCTGGCTTGGCCTGCCTGCCTGCCTGCCTGCCTGCCTGCCTGCCTGCCTGCCTCGTCTTCCTTAGAACAGGGGTTGGCTCGGGCTTCCCCCCATCGGCCCCTGGCGCCCTCTCGGGCCGAGGGCGGCGGCGTGGGTCCTGGGCGCGGTCGTGTGTGGCTGAGGGCCTGCGCCGACAACGACAGGGGGACTGCCTCGGCTGCGGGCTGCGGGCGGCGGGGGGCGACCCCCGCCTCGAGCCGCCGCCGCTGCGCCGCCGCCGCCGCCGCCGCCGCCGCTGCTGCTGCTGCTGCGCTGCTGCTGCTCTGCGGCCGCCGTCGGGGCCGGCCCGCCCGCTCGCGCCCGCCCATTCCCCGGTTGGGCGGCTTGGGCTTCCTTTCCCCTTTCCCCTTCGGGCCGGTGGCTGGACCTGCCTGTCGGTCTGCCCCGTCTGCCTCGTCTTCCTCGGGCAGGGGCTGGCTCGGGCCTGGCTGCCGGGGCCGTCGGAGGGGCTGCCTTCCGTGGCCCCCGGGGCCGAGCGGCCCCTGCCCGCGGTCGTGTGGGCTGAGGGCCCGCGCCGACAACTGTAGGGGGGAACCACCTTCGGCCGAAGGCTGCTGTGGCGAGCTCGCCCTCGGGGCCGGGCGGGGGCCTTCCTTGCGCGGGCGGTGGTGCGGGGTTGCATCCAGCTGGTTGGGCCTCGCCCCCGCGGCGGCGGCAAGTCTACGCGCGGCCCTCTCCCCACCCCCTGCCGAGCGTGCTGGGCTGGGCTGGAAACGGGCGCGCGGCCGGGTCCCCCCGGGGCCGGAGCCGGCCGGAGCTGGCCGCCCTCGGGGCCGGCCGGCCGGCGAGCGTGGCGGGCGGGGCAAGAGGCGGTGCAGCGGGGTTGGCGGCTGGGGGCCCGTTGCTCCGCGCCCTCCACCCGCGAGAGAGCGAGGCGTTTACCGGGGCGGGGGTGGTGGGGCGTGCGGAGGGCGTCCCCTCCCTGGGCGTGGCGCAGGAGGGGCCCCTGTTTGCGGTCGTGTTGGCTGAGGGACCGCGCCGACAACAGTAGGGGGACACCCATGGCCGCATCATCATCTCTTCCCTCCCTCACCGTTGCGGCGCTCTCCCCTGCTGCTCTTCTGCTCTTTTCTCCCTCTTCTTACGTCCGGTGGGGTGTGGGGTGGTGTCTTTTGGGGGTTTGGGCTCCGTCCGTCCAGTCAGTGCTCTTGGCAAGCTCGGGCGTCGGTCGGTCCACCCTTCCCCCGAATTTCCCTTCCCCCCCGCACCTGGAACATGCAAAGGTCGCGGGCTCGCGCCACGATGCCGCCTGACCGGGGGCCGCCGGGGTAACCAGTCCCCGTGCCACCCCCGCCAGTGTCGGCTTGTGGTCCTGCCCTGTGGTCACACAGGCGACCGCCCCTCTCTTGACGTTCGGTCGCGCTGGCTGGCTTGCTGGCTTGCTGGCTTCCGTCCCATCCACGGGGGGCTCTCGGCACGGCTCCCCGGCCTCTTCCCTCCCCCCTCCCGGGGGTTATGGGAGGAGGCCGAACCCAAAAGTCTTGTCAGCCCCGCCTGGGTCACCGGGGCCTACGAGGTGAGCGACGGCGCCGAGCCCAGCTTTGTGAGCCGGGTGTTTGGCGCCGTGGGCCGCGCGTTTTCTCAGGGCGCAGGGCGTCCTCTCCCTGGGCGTGGCGCAGGAGGGGCCCCTGTTTGCGGTCGTGTTGGCTGAGGGACCACGCCCACAACAGTAGGGGGACACCCATGGCCGCATCTCTTCCCTCCCTCACCGTTGCGGCGCTCTCCCTGCTCCTTTCCCCTTCTGTCCCTTGCTGAGCGCTCTGCTCTTTTCTCCCTGTCCTACGTCCGGTGGGTGTGTGGTGGTGTCTTTTGGGGGTTTGGGCTCCGTCCGTCCGTCCGTCCGTCCAGTCAGTGCTCTTGGTAAGCTCGGGCGTCGGTCAGTCGGTCGGTCCACCCTTCCCCCGAATTTCCCTCCCTCCCCCGAACCTGGCACAGCAAAGGTCGCGGGCTTCGCGCCACGATGCCGACCGGGGGCCGCCGGGGTAACCAGTCCCCGTGCCACCCCGCCAGTGTCGGCTGTGGTCCTGCCCTTCACACAGGCGACCGCCCCTCTCTTGACGTTCGGAATGGTTTCCGAGTGCCGCCCCCCTTTTGCGGCCTTCCCCTCGCGACGGCTGAGCCCCTTGCGGTTCTTCTCCCCTCGGCCACGTTTCGCCGGTAGCGCGGAGTTAGATCCCGGGTGTGCACACCCTTGCGGCGAGAAAGGAAGAAACCCCCGGCAATCCCACGCCCCTCCTCCTGCGGAGCCCTCGGGTGAGGCAGGTTGAAAAGGAGACTGGGCCAGCGAGAGTACTACGTACTCCCCTCCCCCTTGCCACGGGCTTGGCTCGCTGCTCGCCTCCTGCCGGCTCCCGTTTGTGCATGCATGCATGCCCGGAGCCGAGCCTTGCAGCGCGAGTTGCGGCCAGGGCCCCATTGCGTGTGGCGTTCTTCGGGGAGTCGTATGTTGTTTTGTCTGCGGCCCGTTGCTGCGACGGAGAACGGTGGAAAGAGGAGGAGGAGAGGAGAAGGCGGAGAGGCAGGCGGTGAGCAAAGGCGTGGCTTAGCCTTGTTGCACAGCTCAAGGGTGCGGAGCGGGACTGCCGGAGGCAGGCGTGGGTGAGCAGCCCTGACAGCTGTGAGCCTGTGCCCCACTGCCTTGGCAGCCCGCCTGTACCCCGGCTGGCTGGCTGGCTGGCTGGCTGGCTGCTGCCTGCGCCTTGCCCCTCTCCCCCCCTTCACCCCCCCCCCCCTCTGTCCTCCCCGTCGCTGCACGACCACGATGGCGGCAGAAAGAAAAAGGGCTCGCGCCCGGGAGGGAGCTCGCCGCGGCCGTTGTTCTGGTCCGGCGACGCTGTCGTCTCCCTCCCCTGTGTGCGGCGCACCCTGAGCGAGTCGAGAGAGAAACGACCCCCAACAACCAGCCATCGAAAAGAGTGCGGCCCCCCCCCCCTTTATTTGAAATGCCCTCCTCCTTCGTCCCCATTCCTTCCTGGTGTGGCCTCATGGCCGCAGCAGCGGGAGAGCGGGGCGAGAGTCGTCGTTGGGCGTTTCCGGGGGGGTTTTTGCCATGTGAAAAGCCAAAGTAACAATAACCGTTGTTCATATGACGACGACGACGACGACGACCACGCTAGTGTGCGTTGTTGCTTCTACCTGGTTGATCCTGCCAGTAGTCATATGCTTGTCTCAAAGATTAAGCCATGCATGTGTAAGTACAGGCCGACTTAAGGCGAAACCGCGGACGGCTCATTAAATCAGATATAACTCATTGGATCTCTGCTGAACCGCATTACTTGGATAACTGTGGTAATTCTAGAGCTAATACATGCCTTTGTAGTCTCCGACCGCGAGGGAGGAGCGCTTTTATTAGACCAAAACCCTCGGCAGCCGGTTCCCGCAAGGGGCCGGCCGCACACATCTTGGTGAATCAGAATAACTTTTGCCGAGCGCACGACCCCTCCCGTAACCCGGGTTGGGTCGGCGCCGCGTCCTGCAGGCGTCTGCCTTATCAGCTCTCGATTGTAGGTTAAACGCCTACAATGGCTATCACGGGTAACGGGGAATCAGGGTTCGATTCCGGAGAGGGAGCCTGAGAAACGGCTACCACATCTAAGGAAGGCAGCAGGCGCGCAAATTACCCACTCCCGGCACGGGGAGGTAGTGACGAAAAATACTGTTGCGAGCCCCGAACGGGGCCTCGCAATTGGAATGAGTACACTTTAAATCCTTGTACGAGGATCGAGTGGAGGGCAAGTCTGGTGCCAGCCGCCGCGGTAATTCCAGCTCCACTAGCGTATATTAAAGTTGTTGCGGTTGAAACGCTCGTAGTTTGACTTCTGCTCCGGACCGGCGGTCCGCCTTAGCGGCGGCTACTGCCGGGTTCCGAGCTGTGTCCCCGCCGGCGCACATGGGGTTTTTATGCCCTTAACCGGGTGTCCCCTTGTGGCCGGCACGTTTACTTTGAAAAAATTAGAGTGCTCAGAGCAGGCTGGTTTTTGCTTACAGCCCGAATGGTCGTGCATGGAATGATGGAACAGGACCTCGGTTCTATTTTGTCGGTTTTTCGGAACCCGAGGTAATGATTAATAGAAGCAGACGGGGGCATTCGTACTGCGACGCTAGAGGTGAAATTCTTAGACCGTCGCATGACGACCTACTGCGAAAGCATCTGCCAAGGATGTTTTCATTGATCAAGAACGAAAGTTAGAGGTTCGAAGGCGATCAGATACCGCCCTAGTTCTAACCTTAAACGATGCTGACTAGCGATCCGCCGCAGTTATTCCCATGACCCGGCGGGTAGCTTCCGGGAAACCAAAGTCTTTGAGTTCCGGGGAAGTATGGTTGCAAAGCTGAAACTTAAAGGAATTGACGGAAGGGCACCACCAGGAGTGGAGCCTGCGGCTCAATTTGACTCAACACGGGGAAACTCACCAGGCCAGGACACCGGAAGGATTGACAGAATGAAGGCTCTTTCTCGATTCGGTGGGTGGTGGTGCATGGCCGTTCTTAGTTGGTGGAGTGATCTGTCTGGTTAATTCCGATAACGAACGAGACTCTAGCCTGCTAAATAGTCGACGGATCTCAACCCCGTTGCCCCCGTTGTCGTTCGCGGCGATGCGGGGCGCGGGTTCCCCGAAACCCGGTCGTCGTGCGGGCCTCCACCGTCGGTCGGTTAGCGCCGCCGGCGGCGCGCCCCGCGGCGCCGGAAACTGGCGTCCGCTTCGCAGTCTTCTTCTTAGAGGGATAAGCGGCAGCAAAAAATATACTAGCCGCACGAGAGTTTGAGCCATAACAGGTCTGTGATGCCCTTAGATGTTCTGGGCCGCACGCGCGCTACAATGGAGAGTTCAGCGAGCTGGCCCTGCTCCGAGAGGAGCGGGTAACCTCGTGAAAGCTGTCCTTAAAGGGGATTGGGGCTTGCAAATGTTCCCCATGAACGAGGAATTCCCAGTAGGCGCAATTCACCAGATTGCGCCGATTTAGTCCCTGCCCTTTGTACACACCGCCCGTCGCTACTACCGATTGAATGGTCTAGTGAGGGCACCGGACTGGCGCCCTTGGAGCCGCTACCGCCTCGGCGGGCAGCGCCCTCGGGTCGACGGAAAGGTGTCCAAGCTGGGTCATTTAGAGGAAGTAAAAGTCGTAACAAGGTTTCCGTAGGTGAACCTGCGGAAGGATCATTAACGAGCAGTGCTACCCAAGAAGCAGCATCAGTGCAGCAGCAGCAGCAGCAGCAGCAGCGGCACCACCACTGCCATCGGCGGAGGAGGAGCCGCGGCCGCGCCGCCGCCGCCGCCGCTGCCGAAAGAGGCATCTCTCTGTTCCTGTTCAACTCGAACGACGTGTCAACGGGCGCGAGCGAGCGAGCGAGCCAGCCGACCAGGCGAGGTTTGGGGGGTGGGGGGTTTTTGGGGCGCGCGACACCGTGCAGCCATTGGGCTGCCGTCGTTGTTCCTCCTCCTCCTCCTCCTCCATCTCCCGGTCGCGCTGGCTGGCTGGCTGGCTGGCTTGCGTCCCATCCACGGGGGGCTCTCGGCACGGCTCCCCGGCCTCTTCTCTCCCCCCCCTCTCCGGGGATATGGGAGGAGGCCGAACCCAAAAGTCTTTGTCAGCCCCGCCTGGGTCACCGGGGCCTACGAGGTGAGCGACGGCGCCGGGCCCAGCAGCTTTGTGAGCCTGTGAGGGTGTTTGGCGCCGTGGGCTACGCGTTTTCTCAGGGCGCAGGTTCTCCTCCCCTTTGAGGCCTCATTGAGTGGGAGGCGAGACACACACAAGTGTTGAAACCCAGCAAAGACTCTTAACGGGGGATCACTTGGCTCGTGGGTCGAGGAAGACCGCGGCAAGAAGCGAAGTTTTGGTGGCTATCGCAATTCTCCCGTGATTCCATCGACGTGTCGAACGCACATTGCGGCGGCCCTGTGCCTTCTTCGAAGGACGGCTGCCACCTTCCCTCGAGTGTCGTGACGTTGCCTCCCGGGACACAGTACGGACGGCTGCGGGGGATATGTGCTCAACAGCAGCCAGCCCCCCGCCCGTTCTCCGGGAAGGCCGCTACGAGAATCTCTTGAGAGTGAGGCGAAACAGCGCCGTGTTGGTTCCCCCCCCCCCCCCCCCCCTTCTTTCCGGCCGCTCTCCTTTCTCCCTACCTCTCTCCCTCCCTGCCTCCCTGTTTGTTCCCTGTTCCCTCCTGGAAGGGGGGGGACCGGGTCTGGCTGGCGGGCTGGTGACGAGTAGTGGCTGAGGAGGTCGAGCAGCGGCCCCGGGGCCGGGCGGGTTCCGCAAAAGCACCAACGGCGAGGCCTTTATCCTCGACCGTGCCGGAGGTTCGGGGCGGCGGCTATGGCGGCACGTGTGGCTGCTGCTGCTGCTGCTGCCCCTCGCGCCAACGATTCCGCCCTGGGGAGTTCGCCGGACCTGGAGGGACGCAGGTCCCGCGTCCGGACGTTCCCTGAAGACGTGGAGGTTTGCTCTCTCTTCCGTCGCTGTTGGCGCGGATGGCCAGTCCTCCCCCTGGCCCCCGCGCCGGCCATGCCTGCCTGCCAGCCATTGGGCCCCAGTGTGGGATTAACGTGCCGTAAGGCCGGAGAGGCGCTCCCCCGAAGCCGACCAAACCAGCCGGCCAGTCCGCGTGCTCGCTGCCTGCCCCCCTTGCCCGTACCCCCAGGGGAACGTTCGGTTGGGGGGGCAAAGCGGGCGGCTCGGCCGTGCTTGGAGGGGCAAGGGCGCATCCTGAGAGCGCTAAGAGCGCGCACGGGACCTCTCCGCGCCTGAAAAAGCCAACGTGGAGTCTCGGGCCCTCTTGGTGGGCAGACAGGGCGAGGAAGGAAAGAAAGAAAGAAAGAGAAAAAGCCAGATTGAACGAGAGCGAAATGAGCCCAGCTTGTATACCACAAAGGGAGCAAGAGATTCCATTCCTTGCTCACGTCGACCTCGAGTGGAGGGAGATGACCCGCCTAATTTAAGCATATTAATCAGCGGAGGAAAAGAAACCAACCGGGATTCCCTGAGTAAGTGCGACCGAAACGGGAAGAGCCCAGCGCAAAGCCTCGCGTCCCCTTCGCGGGGGGCTCGAGGGGTGCTGCGTTCGGGAGAGGTCCTGCACGCGCTCCCGAGCCGCCTAAGTTGTTCATGAATGACTCTCATACCCAGGGAGGGTGTCAGGCCCGTGTGGCGGAAAGAGACTTCCTCCTCCTCGTTCGCGGGGAGGGGGGTTTCGGGAGTGCGGAACGGGCCTCTCCTTAGAGTCGGGTTGCCTGAAACCGCAACCTAAAGCAGGTGGTAAACTCCATCTAAGGCTAAATATGACCACGAGACCGATAGCGAACAAGTACCGTGAGGGAAAGTTGAAACAGAACCCTGTAGAGAGAGTTCAAGAGAACGTGAAACCGTTAAGAGGCTAAACGGGCGGAGATTCGAAGATCGAACTGGGGGGATTCAGTTCGTCGGCCTGCCGGGAGACGGTAGCGGGCGTGTTGCGACTTCCCGTTCCGGAGGCCTCGTGCCGAAGGAGCCTTGAGTGGGGAGCGCCGCCGCCGCCTGCCCGGCGCCGGCGGGCGATCTTCCCCCCGCAGTAGGTCGCCGCGACGCGTTGGGATGATGGGCGTCTGAGGCCCGGGTCCTGGTAGGAACCGGCGGCGCGTTCGGCCCTTCCTTGCTCGACTCGTCGGGCGGGGTTGGTCGTTTTCCAGCGCGCCCGTCCGGGGATCCCCCGGTGCCCTCGTCTTGCTCCCCGACGGTCTCTCCTCCGGGGCCGTCCGAGATCGGGGGTGGGGTCCGAGGCCGCGGTCGAGCCTAGCCTCCTCCTTTCGGGGGGTCGTCTGGCTTCCCGCGCTTCCCCTTCCCCACTCGGTCCTTGTGCTGGCCCTCGCGGCGTGCAAAGAGTCGGTACTCCTCCCGACCCGTCTTGAAACACGGACCAAGGAGTCCAACATGTATGCGAGTCAATGGGCGCACTAAACCACGGGCGCAATGAAAGTGATCGGGCCGATCCCACGGAGCAGCGGGCGGCCGCGCGCACCACGGACGGAGTGACCGACTTTCCTCCCCGGGACGGCGCGGGTCCCCCCCGCTCCCGCACGCCCGCGCCCGCCTTCACCGGCGGGCCGGGGGGGCGCAGGTCCGGGACTCGCCATGACGAACGGTCGCCTCTCCGCTTCGCGGCGGTAGGGCCGCGGCCGGATGTGTCGGCGGGTACCCAGAGCATAGATGTTGGGACCCGAAAGATAGTGAACTATGCTTGGCCAGGATGAAGCCAGGGGAAACCCTGGTGGAGGTCCGAAGCGTTTCTGACGTGCAAATCGATCGCCAGAGCTGAGTATAGGGGCGAAAGACCAATCGAACTATCTAGTAGCTGGTTCCCTCCGAAGTTTCCCTCAGGATAGCTGGCACTCGCATCGAACGAGTTCCATCCGGTAAAGCGAATGACTAGGGGTGTTGGGGACGAAATGTCCTCAGCCCATTCTCAAACTTTAAATGGGTGAGGTGCCGGGCTTGCTTCGCTGAAGCCCCGGACGAGAATCGGAGTGCCTAGTGGGCCAATTTTGGTAAGCAGAACTGGCGCTGTGGGATGAACCAAACGTCGAGTTAAGGGGCCTAAATGGATGCTAATTCCGATCCCATGGAAGGGAGTTGCTTGCTATAGACAGCAGGACGGTGGCCATGGAAGTTGGAATCCGCTAAGGAGTGTGTAACAACTCACCTGCCGAAGCAAGTAACCCGAAAATGGCATGGCGCTCAAGCATCCTCCCGATACTCGACCGCCGGGCGCACTATGGGCTGCGTCGAGGAGGTCTCGAGGCCCCGGCGAGTAGGAGGGCGCGGTGGTGAGCGTAGAAGGATACGGCGCGAGCCGGTCTGGAGCCGCCACTGGTGCGGATCTTGGTGGTAGTAGCAAATGCTCGAGCAAGCCGAACCCTCGTTGACCGAAGCGGAGGAGGGTTCCCCGCCAACATCGCTTGGTCGTGGATAAGTCGGCCCTTAGCCCGAGGATAGCTTCCTCCGATCCCCTGGAAAACGCCACAAAACAGTAGAGCACAGCCGAAAGACTCCCTGTTTTGGAGAGAGAGAGAGAGAGCGGAGCGAGATTGGGGGCCCTAGGCGGCGGCACGAGCCCGCCCTCCCCCTTCTTCCCCTTGCTGCCGCTTTGCGGCAGCGGTAAAGGGGGAGGAGGAGGTGGAGGAGGAGGCTTGTCGGCGCCGGAGGAGGAGGCGGCAGCAGCAGCAGCCTCTTCCGGTGTCTTGGCTTGGCCGTCCGACGACGGCCGGTCACGCCCCCGGGGACACCCCTTCCTCCTGAAAGCCTCCTCTCGCAGCAATTTGTCTGGATCCAAAACGAACAAAAAAGGAGAAAGAGAAAAGAAAGAAAGCCAAAAGAAACGGTCCAGTCAGATTTCGGGCTAAAGGGAATACGGTTAAAATCCCGTGACCTGCCCTGTGGCAAAGACAGACCCGTGCGTGGGAAAGACAATGTTTTGTCGTGCGGGTGGCCGTCTGACCATTGCCGGCGGCATGGGCGGCGGCGGCGGCGGATGATTCTGCGGCCGCTGCTGCTGCTGCCGTCGCGCGGTCACGACGATCCTCCTCCCGCCCCCTTCTGTGAGAGGGCTTTCTCTGAAGAGAGTGGGAGTCGACGACCCCCCCCCTCCTGCCCCCCTTCCCTCCCCCGCGGGGAGGCGGAAACGGCGGCGGCGGCGGGGCGGCGGCGGCGGACGACGACCACCGCTCTCTTGCCGACCTCGCCGGTCTCGCCCGCTTGCGGGCTTGGAGACCCCCTAACCGTGACGGTGTGTACTACGACCTCCCCTTCGCTCTCGGAGTAAGCGCCTCCTCTTCCTCCTCGGAAAACCGGCGTGGAAAAGAATCTCCCCCTGCCTCCTCCCACCCTGCTTGTTGTGGTCGGGTCGGGTCGGTCGAGGGGTTTGACGATTGGCTTCCACCGCCACGGCTTCCGGGAGAGCTTTGAGAAGAGAAAGAAAGAGCAAAAGAGAGTGCGCGGGCGCGCTGGCAGCCAGCCCCCCTTTGAATCTCGAATCTTAGATCCGGTGGTCCGGAGGCCAGTGTGTGTGCTTGGCAACAGGCGTACTCGTTCGCCGACGCCGGCGGTAGCCCGGGGAAGAGCTTTCTTCTCTTTTTTAGGCTGCTGGAGGCCCCCAAGTTCGTTCACTTTGAGTGGGGGTCGTTGGCCGTAACAGCCATACGTGAGATTGTGATCTGTTGGGAGCAATCCTCGCTGTTGCGATCGCCACCGGTTCGCCGTAGAGCACCGCGCAAATAAGCGCTTGGTGTCCCGTGCGCTACCGCCGGCCCTTGAAAAGGTGGATAGGGTAAACCCCCTCCGGTACCAACCAACCAACCAAACCAAGAGAGAGAAAAAACGAAAACGATGATGATGAGGGGGCGGCGGCATTGTGCGCGGCTCCGCAATGCGCTTCTCGCTTTGCTCGTCGAACGCTCCAGGCCGAAAGGAGAGCGATCCCTGTGGGGTGGAGGTCGAGAGGACACGCGCCGCCGCCGCAGGGGCGGTGGTGGTTATTTAAAACCTTTACCTAGGCAGGTCTTCTAGCAGAGAACGGGCCCTCGGGAGTTTTCTTGAGATGCCAACCCAGCACGCCCGCGTCGCGGGGGGGCAGTCCGTACCTTACTCCGCAGCAGGTCTCCAAGGTGTTCAGCCTCTGGTCGATAGATCAATGTAGGTAAGGGAAGTCGGCAAGTTAGATCCGTAACTTCGGGACAAGGATTGGCTCTGAGGGTCGAGCCATGCCGGGCCCACAGCCGGAAGCGGTCCCTCGTTCTCCTGGCGGGCGGCCGCCGGCGACGCGCGGAGGCGGCGGCGAGGAGGGGACCCAAGGGTGCCCGCGGCATCGGCGGCCTGCGGCGCCGCGGCGCTTCGGCCCGCTCCGAGGGAGAAGGACTGGGCGAGGGGCGGCCTCTCACGAGGTCGCTCCGAGCTCGGACCCGACCCCGCAGGGGCGGTCGCCGGGCCCGCGGCCGCTCTGCGCTCCACCGCCGCCGGGTGCCCCCCTCCGCTCGAGCCGCGCAGCCCGAGCGCCCGCCGGCAGCAGGTGCCCCCGCCGTCGCGGGTCGGGACCAACGCGGAAGGCGCCTCTCGGGCAAAGGCCGGGGTTTCCCTCCCGTTTCCCCGGCCGCGGCTGGCAACAGACGGCCGTCTCAGAACTGGCACGGACCAGGGGAAGCCGACTGAAAAAACAAAGCAATGCGATGGGCGGGGAGCGAGCGGACGCAGGGGAGGGTCCCAGGGCGCGAGAAGGGCAAAGGGAAGAGAGGCAACCAAGCGCGCGGGAACGGCGGAGGAACGAGGACGCGCGGAAGGAGCCAAAGGCCGCGGCAGCGAAGGAGGGACGCGCAGGAAGGGAGGAACGAGAGGCCCACGGCCCGACCGACGAGCGAGCGAACCCACAGGCAGGGAACGGGCCGGCAGGGAACGGCGGGGAAAGAAGACCCGGGGGAGCGGGACGCGAGGGGGCGGGGGAGAGAGCACCGGAGGGGGAGCAGAAGGGGAGGGCGCGCACGCGGCCGACGAGGAAAGACCACGACGCGGGGCGGCGCGCTACGGACGCGGGGAGGCGGGAGCGGGAGGCGGGACGGGGGTGGGGCCGCGAGCGGGGCGGAGCGGGCGGGGCGGGGCGCGCCCCCGCCGGCCCGGCGGCCCGAGGCCGCGACCGAGGGAGACGGCAAGGTGACATGAACAAGAGCGGCCGCCGCCCCGGGGGCGAAAGGGGCTGCGCGCGCCGGGCGGGCGGCGCCGCCGCGCGCGGCGCGCGGCGCGACCCGGCGAGGACAGAGCCAGAGTGGGGAGGGGACGGGCGGACAAGCGGGCAAACGAGAACGCAGATGCCCAAGGCAGCGCAGGGGACAGAAAACCACGGAGAGCCCAAGGGCAAAGGCGGGCGGGAGCCGGACGCGCAGGACGAGCACGGACGGCGAAAGCACGGCGAGCGAGCCGTGGGACGTGTGACGAGGGGGAAGCGAGAGGGCAGAAAAGGGACCCACAGGAGATACGGGCTGGGCGGCCAAGCGGCAGAGCGACGGCGCGGGGGAGCCGGCGAGGGCGGCGCGGTCCGAGCAGGGGGAAGCAGGGGCACCAAGCGGAGGAGGGGCACCCGCGAAGAAGGGAACGGGAGCGGGGGTGAGACCGTCGCGAGACAGGGGAGGGGACCGACCGGGAACAACGGCGCCACGGCGCGACAGGAGCCCCGCCAGGACGAGAGGAACGGTGGGGCCGGATCCAAGGGGCACCGCCGGCCCGACAGGCCACCAGGGGAGGGCAGCCACGGCCGGCAGGGGACCCCTGAAAGCCGCGCAAGGGGGAAACCGCGCGGAGCGGAAGCGACGGGAGCGCGGGCGGCGCAACGGAGCGGCGAGGGACGAGACGGAAGAGGGG